TCTGAAAACAGATGTAATGTAAACCATGGCAGTAGATGAAATTGAGTATTTGGAGTTTTAAGAAATGCCAAATTTAAGTGGTGGACAAAGACTAGGGAAACAGAGAAGGAGTAGCCAGAGAGGCTGGAGGAACATCTGGAGAATTTGGAGTATTTGAGGTAAGAGAAGAAAGTACATGACAGTGGCAGATACTGTTAAGTAGATTAATAACTTGAAGCCTAAAATTAGTCCATTGAATTCCATGGTATGGCAGTTATTTATGATCTTAGCAAAAACAGTTTTGATGGAGAGTTGGGAGTAAATTCTAGAGCACAGTGATTGTAATGTAAAAGAGAGGTAAGGAAGCAGAATCAGAATAGACAATTCATTCAATATGTGTGGCTATGAATGTGAGGAGAGAGGACAATAGGTAGAGATAAATGAGGAATTTTTAACTCTTTAATTCTTTTTGGAATGTATGTTTCATGTTCTTGTTCTAATTAAAGTCCAAGTCTCTCCTGAGGACACTGCTTCCTCTCAGATGGTGGATGTTTTCTTTCCCACACTCTCATGTCCTTGGAAGTGGGGCAGGCATCCTCCTTGTTCTTCACTGTCAATTTCTCCCTTCCCTCATTCCTCCCCTCTTCATTTTGAATCTCATATCATCAGACTCTACCACCCATTATTCCCTCCTTGTTATAATCAAGTTCTGAACTCCAAATTAAAGTTCCTGCCACACTATCACTCTCTCCAACGTGACTCTTCATGTAATTTTTGGTAATTTAGGTATTCATTTGGATAATCCTTCCATTATCCTTCCTGACTGCACAGTTCCTTGACCTTCTCTTCTGTAGTGATTCTTTCTTCACACATCTTGCTTTGATCACCAGTATATTTTTTCTGGCTTTGTCCCTCTGATACCCTGACTTTAACAATCCTTTGATTCTACCTGCACTTACAATCCATTAATTCCTATTACTTTTTCACTGTTTCTTATCTCCCCACTCCCTGGTCCTCAGTTCCATCTGCACCTATCTTAAGTTCCAACGTCAGTCATTATAAATGACTTCTTTGCATACATTATCTTCAACTTTCTTGCCCCTTTCTCTCTTCAGAGAAACTCAGCCTAAATTTAATCTAGTATTCTACCTTTGCTACACTCGTACCTGCACAGCTGATCTCAGCTGGAGAAAAATACCCAACAATGTTAACTTTAAATTCAGGATTACTGATCTCAGGTGGAACCATAATGCTACCTGGCAGTCATACTACATTTTCCCACTACTTTCATTATCCTATTCTCCTAAATCACATTTTTATGCCTTTTCTTTTCTCCTTAACTTTTAATGCCTCCTTCCCATCCTCACTGTCAGTTGATGACAGAACGTCCTATTTCACTGGGAAACAGAAATAACCAGAAGGGAACCTCCACAAGCTCCCACCACCGTCTCCACCCACCTAACTGCCACTGTGCTCATAAATTCTTTTTTTTTTTTTTTTTTTTT